GGACAATGGAAATCCCCGATTCTTACGACCAGTGTGAACCAGGTATAAAAGTGGCTTGCGCACGAGATTTAAAAGCTTTAATCGTATTTTGAGTTAATGGGTGCGAATGTTAATGGTTAAGCCTGGTTCACATAAAATCGTTAAGCAGTCGCAGACAGTCGCAGACATGTGCCGAATTTTTCGAGAGAAGAGTTAGAAAGAGATACATGGAGGAATGGAAGGTGTCAGTTGGTCGTGATCAAAGAGTGCGAGATAGGTTCGTCAGGAGTGTAAACAGTGGCTGTTAAGTGGAGATAAATCTTGTGTAGGTATGTTTTAAAGTTGGAAAGAGTGTTGTAGCAGTTGGGAGGAGCTGATTTACATACATAGTTCCACAGTTTTACAATTCTAACAAAGTACGAGTTTTGGAATGTGCTTGTTCTACATAATGCGGTTCGTAAAAGGCAAGAAGTGCCTGCACGTGTTCTGCCGTAGTTTCAACATACTGTGAGATATCTAAGTCTACTAAGTTGTTCTTGCATTTAAAATATAACAATATGTCCTTCTTCTCTCGGTCGTATACCAGTGGGATAAGATTTAGTTCCGTTAAACGTTCTACGTAAGTCATTTCGCCACGTTTTTTTCCCTAATATCCACAACGTTGCCCTTCTCTGGACTCCTTCGATCTTTTTGCATAGATAGATGCTGCTAGGGCACCAGACGTCGCTTCCGTAGGTTAGCTGCGATTTTACCAGCGTCAGAAACAATGCCCTTCTAACTCGAACGTTTGTAATTTCCAAACAGGTTCTTTTAAGGAGGCCAAGCATTCTATTTCCCTTTGCTACCATCTTTTGTATATGGGGGCCCCATTTTAGGTCACTCGACACAAGAATGCCTAGATCTTTTTCTTCTTTACAAACTAATAGTTCATTTCCGTACAAGTGGTAAGAGAATTCAAACGGCTTGTGCTTTCTTGTTACTGTCAATACTTTGCATTTTCCAGTGTTGAATTTCATTCGTGAGTCAATGCTCCACTTTTCCAGCTTTGTTAGGTCGTCTTGCAGAGACTGGCAATCACTTATTGATGTAACCTCTCTGTAAAGTTTGGAGTCGTCCGCATACAATGCTGAGTTTGTACCGTACGAAACATTATCTGGAAGATCGTTAATAAATATGAGAAAAAGCAACGGTCCAAGAATGCTACCTTGACGTACACCTGACGTCACTGGAGACCATGTCGAGGTAGCGCCCTCGATAACAACTGCCACCTGTCACTCAAATAACTTTCAAACCAACGCAAGAGCGAACCGTTTACACCGTGCCTTTGTAGTTTATACAGAAGGATGTCGTGATCAACCGAGTCAAACGCTTTTGAGAAGTCAAGGTATAGCATATCAGTTTGCTTGTTTTGATCGAGATTTTTACCGATGTCGTGTAGTACACCTAGTAGCTGTGTCACACATGAACGATTTTGTAAGAAACCATGTTGAGCATTGTTGATTAGTACGTGAACAAATGGGTAGATGCTATTAAACACGCTTCTCTCGAGAACTTTCGATACTATGGATAGGAGAGAAATGGGTCTGTAGTTGGTCACGGACTCAACACGGTCCTTCTTGTGGATGGGAATAACATTCGCTTGTTTCCACTCAACGGGAACACGTCCTGTTGCTAAGGATTTGTTAAATAAACAACAGAGTTTTGGAAACAAAGTTTGATGTCGAATTCAATAAGGATTAGATCAGATGGAAACAGATCAGTTGGATTCACACAGTTAACATCAGTGATGAGCTCCGGGACATTACATAAAACACAGTCTAGTTTATTTCCACGCAGATGTGTCGGACCATCAATATTTTCATAAAGGAACTGATCTGCAATAATATCACAAAAAAATTCTTCTTTGAAACCAGCCTGCGAGGTGGGGGAAGGAAAGTCACATATTATTAGCACTGATGAAGATCCGGGCTTACGGATCGAAAGCTTTGCAGTAATATATTTACGTGTTGTTTCCACAAACAAAACAATTATATGTTTTATCGCCATGCAAACATACAAAGAATTTATTAAGGTGCATTTTGTTTTAATTACAACAAAGACGCCATGTTTACATAAATGTCGACCCACTGAGTTGGGATATTAAGTGGGATAAGAACAGTCATATGAACACAGAAATTATTCATCCCACTCATGCAGGTGTAGCCTGTAACTCGGGTGAGCGTCCCAGCAAACGAGACTCATAAACAGGCAGAGCTATCTGTAGCAATCAGTTCCAACTGTTATGTAACTCAATGTTCTATGTATGATCATTTCAGATAATATATATTGTTTAGTGGTCTGGTGTAGGCTGCAATTATGGCAGCGTACAAATGGCTAATGTAATACCAAGCCCCCTAACTCGAATAGTTACTGTTTCGAAATACAGAAAGATGTTGCATGTCATGAGTTATCCAAGCTGGCGAAATAATGGTACAAACAAGCGTTATTTATTGCTAACTTTGTCCATGCTGCACTTTATACAGGGTGGTGTAATTAATGGCAGTATGCTAGCGCTTGAATTAATGGGGAGAGATTATGGAGGAAATGGTGGTGTCATCATAAACACGGGTTCAGATACAGGTATATTTCTTAAACCCAGTTTTGTTTCGGTTTCCTTAAGGTGGCTTCCTACGGGAAGTTGTTTCTGAGTTTTATCATCAATGAAAGCGCCAGTTTTTTATTATAATCCTAAACTTTTCAAAATTCGGACAGTACGTATGTTGTTAGCTAGTTCTTAACCTATCATTCAATGTGTTTTTACGTATTTTTAATACATTCAGTACTGTATTTTATAATGCTCACAATTTTCAACAACAGTGTCGCGGACTGAAATAACATTTAATACTGTCTTCAAGACACTCCTTATAAACTGTCACTGAAACTTACGTATAAGTCCTGTCATTCAAATCAATTTAATTCAATTCACATGTATTGATTTACTGGTAAATCTAATAAAACTACAGTGCAGAGAGTTACGAGTTGTTTTATACGAAAAGTCAAACTCTAGTTGAATCTTTTGACTACAACAAACTCACAACAAAACTAAATTTTAAAAACATTGAATTAATTCATTGCGTTATTGTGTTCTCAATTTTTCGTATTTGGAATATATATCTTTTATTTTCGTCTCAAGTAAGTAAAACATATGTGTGACACATGTAAGCTACAAACGCAAAGCGATAGTGATTATGTCGAATCGATATTTTGTCACGTCAGCAGCTTCAACTGGATTTTAGGGCTATTCTTCTCGCGTTTCCTGCGGTGAAATTTTGTTAAACTTTGCACATTTGTTGCATGTAAGCTGCTTGACGATTAGTAAAACATCAAAATTTCAAGAAATTCTACAAGACAGATTTTCTGTAGTCGTTATTCATTAGTATCTCGAAAACTGTCTTGTAAACCTCACTTCAAATTGTAATATGTGTTATTCCCCTATCAACGATAAATCTTAAAGAAAACTTCAGAAAAAGTGCAAACAATAAAAGTGCAAAAATGAAACGTCATGGTTGCCATGACAACACTAACACTGTTCCTATTTGTTTATATACCGACAGCACAAGAATTCTGAACTTTCCTGGAAATGATCATATTGCCCTGTCTTAAATGTATTCAATATAAATTTGGTTGAAAACGATCGAAGGTTATACGTAATACGTAAAATTTTAGAGAACTGTTGGGAGCCACCTTAAAAGAGGATCTTGAGGCTTGCGCGTTCGTATTTGGTTTACATTCCTCTAAATTGAACGGCCATATTTTGCAGAGAAAGTTTCAATATTGGAGAAGTTACGACGTAGATACGATAAAATTGCGTCGTAGTTGTTTATTTATATCAAATACCGTCTAGGAAAAGACATTTCTCAACTTAGGCGGCCTGGACCTGCAGGCCAAGTGGCGATAATATTATACATAGTACCCTCCTATTGCAAATATAGGGATGGCAAACCTATATGCATGCGTATCTTTTAGATTCGCCATCTTTTGAAGACAAATTCTATGATTATTATGCCCTGCATAATAATCATAGATGGGTCAGTATACTACAGTTTTAGAGTATTTAATCTTTTCAGGTATAAAAGCATATATGTCGATGATTCCTATTTACTCTTCTACAAAGGCTGCTGTCGTTCATTTTTCACGATGTATTGCACAGGTTTGTGAGTATTTTCATGGTATGGCATATGATAAAACTTTATTTTACTATGCTAACCCCTACAGCAAGAGCTGATTTCCAAGATAGGCGTAGATTTGAATTTCTGATCATCAAAATTACATTTAAAAAAATTACAAATACAGTCATTAAACTTAGAATTACATGCAGCCATTACAATTACAACTAGAGGGCACTCAGAGACTGCATACCTCCGCCTACGCGCAAACTATTGAAGTAATCTATTGTTATTAGAATTTGAATGGCTGGTGCATATATTATGCACGTCCTAATTACGCATTCAGTATAAAGTTTTATTTAATTGACCGGGATAAACAAGACAAACTTTTGTTATTTCTCATTCAATTTTTAACCAAATTCAACCAAATTTTAATCAGTTCTTCCTTAGCCGATGGGAAATGCACTCACAAAATTTCGTACGGATATGTTTGGTATTTCTTGAGTTATCGTGCTCACAGACAAACACACACACACATACACACACACACACATACACACACACACACACACACACACACACACACACACACACACACACACACACACACACACACACACACACACACACACACACACACACACACACACACACACACACACACACACACACACACACACATACAAACCCAGATGATTACATAACCTCCTGGCGGAGGTAATTACAACTAGAGGGCACTCAGAGACTGCATACCTCCGCCCGTTACTCGGAAGTGAAACGCAACCTTGGAATTTCCTAAGAAATCCACTTTATAATTCTTAAGCATAAAAGATTTCAGGCCCCCGCGAATTGAAATCGAATTGCTAATAGAACATATTACTGTTGTTGTATTGTACAGTACTTGTAAAATAAAAACTTATTAAGTGTCATTAAATAAATGCATAAATTTTGCTTTATGCACTCGCGCGTGCAGTAATTTTCACAGTTGTGTTATTTTAAATTCCCAGGCAGCTAAAATCTTTTGTCTTTAAAACAATGTCGATTTCTTGGGAAATTCCGAGGTTGCGTTCTTTTTATACACCCTGTATTGAAGTAATCTAATGTTGTTAGAATTTGAATGGACTGGCACTTTGCTGAACGTAATAATGCATAACTCCGTAAGCCTTGTTTTAGACATTGAATTTCGGTCGCGTGAAATGCAACTAAGACAATAGATAATGAAGGCCGAAGCTTAATGAGGTTTATCATCTCATTAGTGTCTTAGTACTGCGTGCATAAATTATACACGTCCTAATTACGCATTCAGTAATATTTTTTTAATTGACCGGGAAAAGTAAGACAAAATTTTGTTCATTTCTCGTTCAATTTTTAACCAAATTCAACCAAATTTTAATCAGTTCTTCCTTAGCCGATGGGAAATGCATTAAAAAAATTTCGTACGGATATGTTTGGTATTTCTTGAGTTATGGTGCTCACAGACAAACACACACACATACACACACACACACATACACACACACACACACACACACATACACACACACACACACACATACAAACCCAGATGATTACATAACCTCCTGGCGGAGGTAATGACATTTTTCACGCAAGAAAAGTGCACTTTGCTCCCGGAAAAAGGGCACTTGGCAAAACTTGGGGAGGTGCCCCCCTGCTCCCCCGGTTCCTACGCCCCTGTATCAAGGTCTCGGTAAGCGTTATCAGCCTCGCCTTCGGCTCGGCTGATAACGCTTTCCTCGACCTTGATAATTCCGCATATCACAAAAATCCCATCTAATAATTGTTAATAAAATTACCTTTATATATTCTGTAACGAATATATAAAGCATTTTCTAGCCAAGCCACTAGCACAACAGCCAGAAAAGGAGGCGGACATCTTTTTATTGCGAAAATTGTTTGATACATTACAATATAATACGACAACTGTTTATAATTTTTTATAATTAAATTTATAATTTTAAAGTTTCTTGCTATTTAGTGTAATGGCGAGGAGAGTGCCTCAAATAACATAATATTCTGAGTCGCTACTTAAAACTCTATCACAATAAATATCGTCGCGTATATTTGTCTTAGATCATGCATCTGTTGCTGTACAAGAAATATTATATACATGTACATTATATACTTTCCTAATAAACCCATGGAAAATTAAGAATTTTAAATGACTTTCTATACCCCGATAGATTGTTAATAGCTATTCAGTTAGTAACGCGTCGTCGGAAAGCGTTTACTATTTTCATTCCTTCTCGAAGCAGAATTGAGTTTCTCCAGAAAAATATCACACAGTTGAACGTCGAGTTCAAAGAGATAAACGTGCTTGACCACAGATGAAATAAGAAGAATTGCCTGTCAGACAATAGCGTTTCTGATGCTAAATGTAAAGCAGAAAATATAATTTGTGGACAGGAACAAACGAAAAAACAGCCAACTGCCAAATAACATGTAGAAATATTTTTGAGATTGAAGATTCGTTTTCTCCTATTTCCATCCATCGACGTTGCTGTAGTTGGAACAACCCTTTCGTCCCCGCGTTTTGACTTTGCGATTTTAAACATTTCGTAATTTAAATAAATAAACACGAGCATCAACAGTGGAAAAACTGCGGCTACAACGATATTACTATACATTTCAGCATTGAAATATAGCAATACAAGCGTTGGACCGACTGTTATCACCGTCCAAAATGCCTGAAAATATAGAAGTCTTGTTTCTGTGACTAATGCTTGATGGAAAAATGGACGGGTCAGAGCTAGGAATCGTTCAATATTCAGCGTAAAAAGCGCAAACAACGAGGAGTCATATAAAACATAAACTATACTGTTCCTTGTGTCCTCGCGTATTTTATTAATTTCTCCTTGGGAAAAATATATTGTAGATACGATCAAGAATGGATGAGTGATGGCGACTACGGCCAGATCAAAACAAGATAATACAAGAATCATAAAGTAGCATACTTTCTTTCGAAGTTGTGACGACCTCCACAGACTGATTATAACGACAGAATTTAGAAATATTCCTGCCACCATAAAGATTATATTGATAATGCACAGAAATACGACGCTAAAAATATCACTTTTTTGCATATTGACGACTTGTCTTGCACAGTAACTGAGTTCTGTTTCTTCCTATAATATTTTTGCCTTGTTGTTCTGACACATTCAGTTTAAACTGCCGGAATAATTTGGAAGACACTCATACATCTGTTGTTATGTACATTTTGTCGTTTTGAAGGACTTTATAACAGACACAGGACATCTTGAAGGGTTTTTGTTAATGAAAATTTCAGGGGGAAATTATATACATATATTTTAGAGCTGACCGGGTGCAGATACAAACGCCGTGTTCCCACCCAACTTTATCCTTTTCCCCGGTGCAAATAGCCGTGCGATATTAGTACACTCTCGGCGTGGGTTTCGCCCTATATGAGCCCCGCGCGTGGTTCGGGGATTAACACGAAAATTTCTGGGGCTAATGGCCATACAAAAATTGGATGAGAAATTCACGGCAGCATTTTTGTCTTGCTTTTCCGGGCAGAGTAAACTGAATGCGTAATTATAGTCCATCTGTCCATTGTATAATTTATGCATGATGTCTTGACTTAATTCACAGGTGGAGGCATAGAGAGTGCTCTATAGGTAATCCTTCATCCTTATAGCATAAATTTAATAAAGACTTTGACATTGACATTGAATCTTAAAATACTCATTCACCTAACCCTAATCTATTTCAAAACTTTTAACCTAAAATAGTTACACCCCTCTATACATTCTGTGACGCGAGTACATCAAGCATTTTCTAGCCAAACTACATTATTAACACAACAGCCATGCAGAAAAGAAGGCAGACATCCTTTTACTGCCAAATTTGTCGGACACATTACAACATAATACGACAACTGTTTATAGTTAAATATATCATTTTAAAGTTTCTTGCTGAGTTTAATGGCAGAGAGAATACCTCGAATAACATAACATTCTGAATCACTTTCATAGTATCATACTTAAATACTCTATTGTTTCCCATCGATGTCTTATACCACACCTGAACAAATAGCATCACGTGTTTTTGCCAGATCATCTGTTGTTGTACAACAAGTATATGTATTACATATATAGGCTATATTACTTCCTATAACCCATGAGAAAATTAAGCAACCAACTGAATTGCAATGTTGACGGCCGTGTTTTTTTCTGAGAAGGATCAAATACATAACTAAAATTTGGAATTAATTTGGGTCGTCAGGGAACGACGCAAAAACTAGCGATATAAAGGGTTGGTTTAGCTCAGAATTACATTCTAGACATAACAACATGTTCATGCAAGTGCAGTGTAACTAATGAAGCGGTTTTTTGTCTTCAAAGTCAAAGAATCAATACAGAACGAATTTTCTACAATACCCAGATAGATTATTGCCAGGTAATAGTAATTCAGTTGGTAACGCGTCGTCGGAAAGCGTTTAATATCTTCATTCCTTCTCGACGCAGAATTGAGTTTCTCCAGAAAAATATCACACAGTTGAACGTCGAGTTCAAGGCGATAAACGTGACTGACCACAGAAAAAGTAACAAAAACTGTCTGTCAGACAACGCCGAGGCTAAACGTAAAGCAGAATATATAATTTGTGGACAGGAACAAACGAAAAAACAGCCAACTGCCAAAGAACATGTAGAAATACTTTTGAGATTTAAGATTCGTATTTTCCTATTTTGATCCGTTGACGTTGCTTTAGTTGAAACAACCCTTTCGTCCTCGCGTTTGGACTTCGCGATTTTTAACATTTTGTAATTTGAATAAGCGAAAACGAACAGCAACAATGACAAAATTACAACTGCAACGATATTACCTAAAATTTTAGCATTGAAATGCAGCAATACAGGCGATAAACCGACTGCTATCACCGTCAGAAATGCCTGAAAACATAGAAGCCTTGTTTTTGTTACAGATACTTGATGGAAAAATGGGCACGTCAGGGCTAGGAATCGTTCAACGTTCAACGTAAAAAGCGCAAACAACGAGGAAATACATACATCAAA